TATCCGATATGTCAACGCCAAGGATTCCGATATTAGTTAAGGCAGCAAGGGGAGAGCCTTTAAACTGAGGAGATACGACAAAGGGGTTCTTTTTAGCTGTGAACGCGCAAACTTGTGTCTTCTTGGGATTGAACTGGACTAGATTTAAGGCATCACTAGTGCTGTCGTTCGCATAGCAATAAATGCTACCAGTAAGCAACATATCATTGATATGTAGGAGAAACACCGTTGGTGATAGCACGCAGCCTTGTGGAACACGAGCGTTGATAGGCTTGAAATCAGAGCACGCACCGTCTACTACGACCTTAATGCTCCTATCACCAAGGAAACTGGTGATCCCTTTGCACAATTTCTCGGGAAACCCATAGGAAGGATGCTTCGAAAGAAGCGCTTTGTGCCATACCCGATCGAAGGCCTTAGCTATGTCCAAACTGACGGACAATGCATACCCCTTGGACTCTACTGCCTCCGCCCATCTATTAGTCAGATAGACTAGAAGATCACTAGCTGATCAACCTCGACGAAAACCGTACTGACGGTCACTAATCAGCTGGTGATTCTCAAGATACCTCATGAGCTGGCAGTTTATAATGGATTCCATTATTTTGGATAACAAGGAGGTGATATCGATAGGCCTGTAGTTGGACGGATCTGAGCGGTCGCCTTTTTTAGGGAAAAGTGGACCAAAGCTGTCTTCCATGAATTTGGGACTACGCCATGGGAGTAGGAGTACCAGAAAAGACGCGTTGAAATAGGTGCCATCTCCGGAGCACACGTCTTCAAAACAATAGGAGGGACTCCATCGGGCCCACTCGACTTGCTGATGTCCAGGGAGAAGAGTGCTTTGCGAACCGAGCGCTGTGTAAACCGCACATCCGGCATGGAGCACTCGCATCGCGGGATGGTCGGCGGTGTGTTGCTCCCGTCATCTAGAGTCGAGTTGGACGCAAAGAGAGAGCTCAAGAGATCGACTTTCTCCTTTGCGGCATGGGTCAGTGAGTCGTCCTCTCTGTGCAGTGATGGAAGAGATGGCTGACAGAAGTTCCCTTGGATAGCCTTGGCGAGAAACCAGAATGTACGGGTTCCCGAAGGCAGGCGAACTAGCTTCTCGCTAATTCTGCCGATGTGCTCAGACCTTGCCTTGGCAATGACGCATATGAAGGACCTGGAGGCGGATTTATACTTCTTTTTAAGTGCGCTGGTGTTTGCATCCCGAGAGGTTGATGTGTCAGCCCAGGCCCGGTAGCACTCCTGCTTATAGCGTGATGCTATTTTACAGGAGCGACCAAACCATGGCTGGGATCTGCCTCCAATGGGCACCACAGAAGATGGAATAAAAAGTTCCATACCCTGAAGTACCACATCAGCAACAGAATCGGCAACAACGCTGGGATCTTCCGGCGAGAAGCAAACCCGCCCCCAAGGGTAGGATGCAAGAAAGACCGCATCCCGTCCCAATTAGCTGACCTATAGTGCCAAACACGGCGGCAAGCTGCAGATCGCAACTGCGATTGGAGCGTGAGTGGCACCGTACTCCGGATCAGACAATGGTCCGAAGAGCCCAGTGGGGCATCGACGGAGACCTGATATCCGTCCAGATGAGAGGTCAGCAGAAGGTCCAACAAGGAAGGTACATGGTCTTCCACATCTGGGATCCGCGTAGGCGAAGTAACCAGTTGTGTTAGACCATATGCCAAAGCAAAGCCATATACAGATCTACCCGCATGATCGGTTAAACGAGAACCAAGCCATTCAGCGTGGTGGGCGTTAAAATCACCGAGTATCGCGATCTCTGCGGATGGGACCTGTTGCAGCAATGAGTCTGTAGCCATTTGGACGTGGTCGATGAGTCGGTCTGTGTCGGCATTACCGCTATGGGACCTATAGAGGCACCCGTAGACGCAGGGATGGTCGTCGATGTCTACGCGCAGCCATAGGATGGACAGGTCCGTACCTTCAAGACTGCCGAGGCGTCGGAAACAGATGTCCTCTCTGACGTATACGCAAACTCCAGCCGGGGTACAAAAGAGTGCTCCAATTTGTACCCCGGGTAGGAGAGATATGAAGTTTCAGCCGGAGAGGACAACTGAGTCTCGGATAAAAAGGGCAGAACAGCTTCGCCGTCTTTAGATGGTAATGGACGGCGTTAAGGTTGGAATGAATTCCCCTGATGTTGCAAAAATTCACGGATAGCGTGACAGGGGTCGCCTTGGTTATATTGCTCCGCTTGCCCCTAGCAGCATTAGTCGCGAGCGGAATTTTGCTTGCTTTCTGTGACACAATACAAATAAATATCGATAAACATACCTCTCTCTAGTGACGGAGAACAGCGAAAAGAATACCAGTCTTACTTGTCAAATTCAAGCGATTTTCCTGTAAGTGATTTATGCGTCTCGGTTTTGGCCCTGGAGACAACTTTATGTAGAGTTTCAGTATCTTATATTATATTGTCCTTCACATGAGAGTGATATTTTGAGCAGTGTTCCACAATTTTTAACGTGTAATAACTCTTTATGATATAGAAAATATTTTTTTATATTTCTTAAATATTACTCTGTGTTGTTTTCATGCTCTGTAATCGTCATTTAAAGTTGAAACAAAAGCATCAAGTTTCAAAGCAACAGATGTTAGGGACCAGATTAATGAAATAAGGCACACGCCGAGCCGACGTTACGTTTATTTTGGGCACAAAGGATATTTAATATTAGAGACTTTTTCAAAAAAGTAATCGTGTTACCCTTGCCCGCCGCTGTGTTCTCGGTTATTTGTAAAGTAGATTATTTCTGAAATTATACATTATTTTTATAAATACAAAAGTGTTATTCTATCTTCGATTCATCAAAATACCTGTTTCTAGACAATATTTTTGTATGTGTTTTCAAACGAACTCCATGTAAAATACATATATTTGTAGTTGCAATATATAAATATTATATAGCCTATGTCATTTTCTCTATTAAGACAAATCCAACGACACCTTATACGTTAAAATCCATAATGTCAGTTTAGGCTATATAGGCATAAGGCACGGATTTACATACTCTCGAAAAACATTAATTACCCTCATTCTGCGGCAGTCGGGTAAAAAAATAATTTTATATTATAAATATATAATATTTATAATTAAAATAAAAAAATATGTAAAAAAAAGTTTCGCTTGTGGCGCGACGACAGCGCCGCCACATCATTTTTTTAAAGATTGAACATTTATAATTTATATACAAGTCTTTCACAACAACACAGAAGGAAGTTAGAAGTATAAGCATAGAAATATCACATTGACAGCAATTATAAAGACTGTAAAGATAGCACAAATATAAGAAGTCTTACGCGAACTTATTAAGTATAACAGTAATGTCTTAACGGCGGCTCTTCACGTTGGCCAACACACTGGCGAATGTGTTGGCCCACAACGATGGCCATCGTGTAGAGCGGGTGTTTAAGCTACGTTGGTATGTATTGCAACGATGGCATACAAGTTGGCGCGAGATCTGTGTGGTGTCGGTTTTTTGCAAAAGATCAAAGGGTTGTGGCAGAGTATTGGCCGTCGCGTCCACACGTTGGGCGCACGTTCAGTTTGGTACGAGCTCCCAGAGTGATTGCACGCACCTGATTTAAATTTTATATGCACGCTTCGTAACTAGTGTCTACATAACGGCAGTAACAATGACCAATGAAAAAACTTTTCGCCCTACCAAGCCGAAAATTGTTTGTAAAACACAAGTCTTTTAAAAAAAATGTTATTATACACTAGGATTTTCTCCTGTATCGTGGAGGCAGTTTAGAAACATAAATTGCATAAGGACAAACATCCAGACCCGGAGAAGTTATGTGCAAGCTATACAAATACTTGTTCCGTGCGGGATTCGAACCCGCGGCCCCCAGGGCAGCAACTCATTACTAAGCCACTACGCCACGGACTCCGTCAAGAAATAAAATTTCTTTTTTCCATTTCTTTTTGATCACCCTTATCTTATACACATTCACGTTGAAGTGATTAATTTTGTATTAATTTATTTATTGATGTATTAATTGATTTATTAAATATCTTAAAATCTATAATATATAACATATATTAAAATCAAATTAAAAAGTAGGATACTAAAATCGTGTTTTTACTGTCTTTATTATTCCCTATTAGTTACTTTATTTCGTTAATAATACTGTAATTTTTAGCTATGGAAGAGCGAAGTCACCTGTTACAGGCATTATTTTGCTTACTAGGTGACCTCGATCACTGATCATATAATGTAACTTTAATGTTTGACGAAATAAATTATTTATTTATTATTATTACGTTTTATTCTATAATTATATAATAAGAATAACCCTCTTTAAAAAAATTTTGTTTAATAAAATTTGACAACAGTTTCATAGACAGGCTTCGAACATTTTCCAGGCCTTAGTTGTAAAAGTGTTAATTATACCTATGCCTAGGTGTGTTAATGTTTATATAGTTCACTTATCTGTATAAAGTTAGTGTATAATAAAGAAATATTAAAAATTTATATTAAAAATATTAAATATAAAAAATATAGTGAAATTAAATAAAAAAATAGTGGTATGCTGTGAATAAATAAACCGCAGCAGTCGTTAGCGCATCAATAATCATTTTAATAAATTCGTCCGCACATTGGCCTGAACCGAAGCAAAATGAACGACCTTCCAACGTGTGGACGCGATCACAATTTCTTGGCCAATAACTCTGCCAACACATTCGCCACTGTGTTGGCCAACGTGAAGAGGCGCCATAGCACGAATAAATGGGCGAACAGTATGGCATACGAAAGCGTACTAGTTACTGGTGGCACAGCGCAGGGCAAGCGATCGGAGCAAGGGCGGCCAGCGGTGAAGTAATATCGCTCCATCGTACCGACCGCCGCATTAGAGCAATAGCCACTGCTAATATCTATGTACATATAATAATTTTTGTAGTAATGTCTGTTTGTAATTATGATATTCATATTTATGTACAGGTTATTTAAATTTAAACATCATATGTACTGAAATTATTTAAAGTTGCTTATAAATTACTTAAATTATATAATTTTATTATGTTGTATACCACATCACCCCCCACCAGAGACCGTGCCTACGGGCGAAAATAATCAGGATAACGTGTCTTCCTGATCGTGTCTTATCTGTCTCTCTGTATATATATATGTCGATACGTCGGTGCTTCACGTCAGCTATATGTTCTTTAACGCGGGTTTTAATAGATCTTTTTGTTTGTCCTATGTACGAGAGACCACATTCACAATCCAGCTTGTACACTCCTGCATCTTGTAGAGGGATTTGACACTTGACGGATGGTAAAAATTGACTAATCTTCTTCAGCGGCTTGAAGTACGTTTTAATGGAAGCTTGCTTCAAGATGTAGCCAACCTTGTCTGTGACTCCTCTGACATAGGGTAGTACAGCAGGCACACGCTCGACTGTGGCTGGCTTCACTCGGTCACTGTGACGTAGGCGCGGGACCCGAAGCTTGTTGTCTTGCAGTACTTGCTCGACGTGCTGAAGCTCGGCGGCCAGATGTTTTCTGTCACAGATCCCTCGTGCTCTCTGAAACAAAGATTTTCCCACGGTAGCTAACTGTGAAGGATGATGGTGAGATTCACCATTTAAATATCGGTTGGTATGGGTATTTTTTCTGTACACAGTATGACCAATAGTGTTATCAGGATTTCGGATGACTAAAACATCTAGAAAAGCTAAAGTATTGTTTGCCTCTAACTCCATTGTGAATTGTATTTTAGGGTTTATGGAATTAAGGTGATTTAAAAATGCAGTTACTTTGTCAGATGGTAAAATTGTGAAAGTATCGTCTACGTACCGCTTGTAGAATCTTGGATTTACAGGAGCAGTAAGAAGGGCTTTCTCCTCAAAGTCCTCCATGAATATGTCGGCGACTACGGGAGATACAGGTGAGTCCATTGCCACTCCATCTACTTGCATGTAGAACTCTTCTTTCCACAATAAATAGCCAGATGTGAGGCAGTGTTTGAGTAATACTGCATATTCTGTAGGAATGTTGTTATCTTCTAGCTTTCTAGTAACAATTGAGATGCAGTCTTCAATAGGTAGGCATGTGAATAGTGACTGAACATCAAAACTGACCATAGTTTCATTGTCAGCGAGATGTAGGTCTTTAATCTCACTAACAAAATGGTACGAATCCTTTGTGTGTGCTCTGGTATGTCCTCTTAGTGGTGACAGTATTTTTGCCAAGTGTTGAGCCAACTTATAAGTTGGTGAATCGATCTGGCTTACTATAGGACGTAGTGGAGCGTTTGGTTTGTGTATTTTCGGTAACCCATACAACCTCGGTGGTTTAGCACATGATGGTATTGTCGAATTCACGTCAAGATCTAATTTTTCGGAGTATTTCTTTATTAATTCAGTAGTTGTTTTGAGTGTATTAGTTGTAGGGTCTATTTTGACCTTTTTGTATGTACTTACGTGCGATAAAAGTTGTTGTATTTTAAAATTATACTCTGACGTGTCCATTATTACCGTAGCATTTCCTTTATCCGCGCGGAGAATAGTGAGCTCTGGTCTATTGCGTAAGTTGTACAACGCTTTAAATTCATCTTTTCGAAGATTTAGTTTCGGCGCTGAACTTCGACGTAACAAGGACGAAATGTCTTGACGTATAGCCTCTAACTCCTCTTTACCGATATTATTCTTAAACAGACAATCCTCAACACTACAGATAATTTCTTCGTACGGGATTTTTTGTGGCGTTATAGCAAAATTTAAGCCTTTCGACAATACTTTTATTGTAGGTTTGTCCAGTGTTTCTTTTGACAAATTATAGACCGTGCGTTGTTTATTGTTTGCGTCTGTGGTCAACGGTTGTGGCGTTTCGTTTATACGTTGACATGGATGTTTGGCATTTGATTTGATAGTTAATTTTTGGTATTTTCCTATTTGTTTGTCTTTGCATTCATTGTATTTCGATAATTCGCGTTTGTTTAAAGTTTCAATGCAATTATTAAAATCAAATGTCGTTAAAACTGTCTTTAACTCACTGGACAAATTGTCTATGGTATTATTTATGATTTGTAAATCGAACCGTTTTTGCTGAATCACCGTTCGTAACAACTTTTTACTTGCCTGATTTAAGATCTTAGCGCTTCCTTGAATGTCCTTTTTAGTAGATATTTTGACGCACGTAGGAATGAGATGGTGATCGCGGCACCGCTTTAGAAAGTTCAATGCTGTTACATATCTTGCGCGCTTGGTCATGAGATCTTCTAATCGGCGAATTTTATTTGCAATTACCAGTCCGTACTGGTTTACATAATGATTTCTTATATTTACGCGAACACTACACATTTTTAAATAAAACTAATTTTACGGATTTTATCGCGTATATTAACATATTTTTATATATTCCCGACGTTTCAGGTGCTTTCCAGCACCCGTGGTCACGGGGGACTGAGTTGTTTGACGTCCTGCTGTCATAGTTAGCCCGGCTACCTTCAGTTTTTTAATATTAATTTTTGGTTCGATTTACGCAGAATGAGCTTACAGTATCTTGAAGTCTAGCAGTGGTATACTTGGATTTGGATTTGATTTTATTAATTATGGGATCCCAAGCAGATGGCAGCACCCATCCATCTTCTCTATTGAAATTAGGATGTTTTTTTAATTTCAATAGCCTCGCGAATCATCCTTGGGAGGAATCGGTGTTCTTTTGCGAGGATTTGTGGTCTATCAAATCTAATGTAATGTACCGTGGGAAAATCTTTGTTTCAGAGAGCACGAGGGATCTGTGACAGAAAACATCTGGCCGCCGAGCTTCAGCACGTCGAGCAAGTACTGCAAGACAACAAGCTTCGGGTCCCGCGCCTACGTCACAGTGACCGAGTGAAGCCAGCCACAGTGGAGCGTGTGCCTGCTGTACTACCCTATGTCAGAGGAGTCACAGACAAGGTTGGCTACATCTTGAAGCAAGCTTCCATTAAAACGTACTTCAAGCCGCTGAAGAAGATTAGTCAATTTTTACCATCCGTCAAGTGTCAAATCCCTCTACAAGATGCAGGAGTGTACAAGCTGGATTGTGAATGTGGTCTCTCGTACATAGGGCAAACAAAAAGATCTATTAAAACCCGCGTTAAAGAACATATAGCTGACGTGAAGCACCGACGTATCGGGAAGTCTGCAGTTTGTGAACATGTTCAAGATCGTCCCCGCCATTACATTAGATTTGATAGACCACAAATCCTCGCAAAAGAACACCGATTCCTCCCAAGGATGATTCGCGAGGCTATTGAAATTAAAAAACATCCTAATTTCAATAGAGAAGATGGATGGGTGCGCCATCTGCTTGGGATCCCATAATTAATAAAATCAAATCCAAACCCAAGTATACCACTGCTAGACTTCAAAATACTGTAAGCTCATTCTGCGTAAATCGAACCAAAAATTAATATTAAAAAACTGAAGGTAGCCGGGCTAACTATGACAGCAGGACGTCAAACAACTCAGTCCCCCGTGACCACGGGTGCTGGAAAGCACCTGAAACGTCGGGAATATATAAAAATAAGTTAATATACGCGATAAAATCCGTAAAATTAGTTTTATTTAAAAATGTGTAGTGTTCGCGTAAATATAAGAAATCATTATATAAACTAGTACGGACTGGTAATTGCAAATAAAATTCGCCGATTAGAAGATCTCATGACCAAGCGCGCAAGATATGTAACAGCATTGAACTTTCTAAAACGGTGCCGCGATCACCATCTCATTCCTACGTGCGTCAAAATATCTACTAAAAAGGACATTCGAGGAAGCGCTAAGATCTTAAATCAGGCAAGTAAAAAGTTGTTACGAACGGTGATTCAGCAAAAACGGTTCGATTTACAAATCATAAATAATACCATAGACAATTTGTCCAGTGAGTTAAAGACAGTTTTAACGACATTTGATTTTAATAATTGCATTGAAACTTTAAACAAACGCGAAATATCGAAATACAATGAATGCAAAGACAAACAAATAGAAAAATACCAAAAATTAACTATCAAATCAAATGCCAAACATCCATGTCAACGTAGAAACGAAACGCAACAACCGTTGACCACAGACGCAAACAATAAACAACGCACGGTCTATAATTTGTCAAAAGAAACACTGGACAAACCTACAATAAAAGTATTGTCGAAAGGCTTAAATTTTGCTATAACGCCACAAAAAATCCCGTACGAAGAAATTATCTGTAGTGTTGAGGATTGTCTGTTTAAGAATATCCGTTGGAATTCACGGATTAATACCGACATAACTCTGATGCTGCAATAATTCTATGGACTATTTACTTTTATTTAACTATTTACAGGTTATCGTTTTCAAGTCACTAATTTTTTCTTTTCATAACATGTTGATATCAGAGTTTAACATGAAAAAGTTGCATTAAATTATTTTGGTATTGAAAAAAAAACAGTTAATTTGATATAATTTTTTTTTGCTTTATTTATTAGGTATTTCGTAATTAAAAAAATATTAAAAAATGACCCGTTGAATAAAACTGCTTTTACGAATTTTATAGCGCTTAATTTAACTGCAACTTTTGTGCTATGCATCACACATGATCACGGAGTAAAATTACCCATTGGTGACGCAAAGCACTCGAAACATCGGGAGTTAAAAAGAAGATAAACTAAACGGTATGAAATTCGTAAAAAACAGTTTTGTCCATATATAATGCATGCCTAAATATAAGTAATCATTATTTCATTTAAGTAGACAACGAAACATTTTCCGAATGTGGGCTCCTACGGTGGAGAAATTTGATATTACGTCTACCTCTCAACCTACAAGTAAACCGAAAGACTTGTTATGGAGGTGCGACAAAAGATATAAGAGAAAGAAATTTAAGCCCAGGCACACATGCTTATCCGCCTAAAAGCCTGATAGGTGTTTTCGTAATACCGTAAAATAAATAATAGTAGGTACTATGTAGTAATACGTATAGTCAATAAATAAAGTAGCGAGTGTGTGTATGTGATAAGTGAAGTATCAACAATTGTATCAGTAATAATCTTGATGCAATTGCTTTGATGCATGACAGCTCAAAGTTTGTTAATCAATATAAATGTAGGGCGGACCTAAAATGTTGAGCTATTTATATTAAAGCATCTTTAACATGAGGAGGTAAGGGAATAATTGAACTGTTAAAAATAACAGGTGATACAGAATTAATGGAAAGTTTATCCAACTGATAACAGCACACTTTTTTTACCAATGATTATTAACTAAGATTTTTTGATCTACGAACTATATAATATGATCAGTAAATCTTAGGTTATTCTTTTCTGTTGAGGATATTAAGTTAATTGTGAGTTTTTGACACTGCGGTGGCGCTGTCGTCGCGCCACAAGCGAAACACATCGAAGTCTAAATTGCGTTAACAAAGTTCCGAAGTCAAAGCAGCATATATAGAATAGCTCCGAACTACCATTCGGAGCGTTGACCGCTCCCCGAGTAGAACACCTTGCCCGGCGGGAGATCACCCCTTTTCCTTCCACCCACCACAGTGGTGACCACCCGACGTGATATGAACACGCAACTAACAACGTTTGGAAACTACGACTTCAAAACCTTCGTCATCGTCCTCAAGTACCCCATTCATTTGCTCCCGAGCAGATATTGTCTGCAGTCTTCACATTCTGCAAGCCATCTAGCTTGACAAAGGTTCATCGCAGCACTGTAATAATAATGCTTCCTGTTCCTTCAAGCTACTCTCTGCGCTACAGTTTTCGGCATGGCTCTGAGCCTTACTGCTCGCCTCTGCTTCACGACACTCTCGCAGATTACTTGCCTTCTTCTCAACTCACCGCAGACTACAAGGCAATCCCAGGCACTTGCTCTGACTCATCATTCTCACCGGGCATCACTTGCAAGTGCGTAGTACGGCATGCATTACACACCGGCATATCGTTCGCATCGGCGTCACTGGCCCTTACTCACACAGCATGCATTTCCTACCGACATTAGGAACGCACCGGCAATCGGACTGTACTATCGACCTCCGGTCTGAGCAGGGGGGTGATAGTGGATGTGGCGGCGCTGTCGTCGCGCCACTAGCGAAACATATCGAAGTCTAAATCGCGCTAAAAAAGTTCCGAAGTTAAAGCAGTGTCTATATAATCTCCGAACTACCACTTGGAGCGTTGGCCACTTCCCGGGCAGAACAGCTTGCCCGGCGGGAGATCTCCCCTTTTCCTTCCACCCGCCACAACACCAAGAGAACACCCCTCTCCTTTATTTAGCCGAACATTAAAGTTAAATTATTAATTGCTAATAATCAGGCATTACAAAGGTGTATAAATACCTGAATTTGTGATTGAAATATGTTACATATATTTCTCTGAAAATTTTGTACCGTACCAAGTAGCGCCGTCCACTCAACTCTCAAAATATCAGCGTAAGCATTTTACGACTACTTGGATTTACGAGCATTGTTTGTTTCAGTGTCGTGACTGTGTCTCGTGACTTTGTAGTTCACACAATTTTGATTTATGTTTTAGAAGTTATTTCTCTGTACTAATATAGTTTTATTGTACATGCTTAAAACGTTCTTATTAAACTGATTTAGTAATTGTAATAAATTGATTTGTGAGGTGTTAGATGTGCATGTTAGATGCCCTTTATTGGTGCAATGGACTAATAATTAAGAATTGCAAAACATATAGTAAAGTAGTTTATATCAATAAAGGAACAATAAAGAAAAAAAAGGTTAGATCTTTCAAACCGAAATTTATTTTATGATAGCAGTCACAGATTTTTTCTCTTCAAGCTTAATTCTGTTTTTGTCTT